CCTCCTCCTCCTCCTCCACCCCCCCAGGTGATCGGGACCCTGCCGTGGGTGGTGAACTCCCCCGGGATGGCAGCCACCAGCCCTGTCCCCGCCGCCCTGCCGGCCCAGAACCTGCAGGTCCAGACGGTGACACCCCAACTGCTGCTCAATGCCCAGGGCCAGGTCATCGCCACGTTGGCCAGCAGCACCATCCCGGCAGCCACCATCAAGAAAACTGCCACCCCCGACCCCCCCGCCAAGACCGAGGTGAGTCATGGGCACCGGGCTGGTAGCCCACGTGGCCAAAGGGCCACCAATGTCCCCTGCTGCAGGGCTGTGGGAACACCTGAGCACCTTTAGGACATGGCTGTCTTGTTTTGGGACACAGCCACAGTGCTCTGGGGACACATGAGGACCTTTGGGACCCAGCCATGGTGCTCTGGGGACACCTGAGCATCTTTGGGATGCAGGCATGTGGCTTTGGGACCCAACCACGTTGCTTTGGGGACACGTGAGGATCTTTGGGACCCAGCCGCGTGGCTTTGGGGGCATGTGAGGACCTTTGGGACCTGGCCACGGTGCTCTGGGGGCACCTGAGCATCTTTGGGATGCAGGCATGTGGCTTTGGGACCCAACCATGTGGCTTTGGGGACATGTGAGTGTCTTTGGGACCCAGATGTGTGACGTTGGGACCCGGCCACGGTGCTCTGGGGACACCTGAGCATCTTTGGGACCTGGCCATGTGGCTTTGGGACCCAGCCATGTGGCTTTGGGGGACACGAGCATCCTTGGGGCACAGGTATGTGGCTTTGGGACCCAGATGTGTGGCTTTGGGACCCAGCCACAGTGCTCTGGAGGCACATGAGCACCTTTGGGACCCAGCCACGTGGCTTTGGAGACACATTGGGACCTTTGGGACCCGGCCACAGTGTTTTGGGGACACTTGAGCATCTTTGGGATGCAGGCATGTGGCTTTGGGACCCAGCCGTGTGGCTTTGGGGGACATAAGCATCTTTGGGACCCAGATATGTGGCTTTGGAACCTGGCCATGGTGCTCTGGGGACATGTGAGGACCTTTGGGACCCAGCCACATTGCTTTGGGGGCACATGAGCGTCTTTGGGACCTGGCCACGGTGCTCTGGGGGCACATGAGCATCTTTGGGATGCAGGTATGTGGCTTCGGGACCCAACCACGTTGCTTTGGGGGCATGTGAGTGTCTTTGGGACTCGGCCATGGTGCTCTGGGGACATGTGAGCATCTTTGGGACCTGGCCATGTGGCTTTGGGACCCGGCCATGTGGCTTTGGGGGACATGAACATCCTTGGGGCCCAGGTGTGTGGCTTTGGGACCCCAACATGTGGCTTTGGGACCCAACCACATTGCTCTGGGGGCATGTGAGCACCTTTGGGACCTGGCCATGTGGCTTTGGGAGACCATGAGCATCTTTGGGACCCAAACACGAGGCTTTGGGAGCCCATGGGCATCTTTGGGACCCAACCACGTGGCTTTGGGACCCAGCAATGTCACTTTGGGACCCAACCAATGTGGCTTTGGGAACCTGTGGGCACCTTTAGGACCCAACCACGAGGCTTTGGGAGCCCATGGGCACCTTTGGGACCCAACCATGAGGCTTTGGGAACCCGTGGGCACCTTTTGGACCCAACCACAAGGCTGGCATCTTGGGGCATCTTGGGGATGTGACCCCTCCTGCCCCATGGGGCGTCCAACTCTCTGTGCCCACCAAATGTCCCAGTTGGGATGGGACGTGGCCAAGCCTCACCTGGGCGTGAGCAGAGGTGCTGGTGACCCCCAAACCTACGTGGTGGGACCCCCCAGTAGAGAATTGTCACGGCCACATTCCCAACATGGAGCTGGGTGGTTCCCAGTGTCACCTCCCCATCCCAGCCTGGGTCACCTCCACCCTCAGCAGAAGGAAGGTGTTGGATGGAGCTGGTGGGCAGGGAGGAGCTGTGGGGCTGGAGGAGGTGGGACCCCCTGATCTGGGGGTGCTGACCCCCAACTTTCTCTGCCCCAGGTCCAGCCCATCCAGCCGGCCCCGGCGCTCTCCCAACCCACCGTGGTGGTGGCAAACCCTGCCCCAGTGGCCAAGGCATCCCCCGCGCCCGTCCCCATTACCTGCTCCGAGACCCCCACCGTCAGCCAACTGGTCTCCAGTGAGTCACGGGGGGGGTTACTGGTGGGAAAGCTGTGGACTGGGATCCCCTGTGAAGAGAGAGAACCAGGGACTGGGATCCCCTGGGGAGAGATTTACTGGGGTCCGGAATCCCCTGGGATGGGGAGAGGGTACTGGGGATACTGGGGGGATACCAGAGTCTGGGATCCCCATGGAAGAGGGATATTGAGGACTGGGATCCCCTGGGATGGGGAGAGGATGCTGGGAAGGGGAGAGGGGATACCAGGGTCTGGAATCTCCATGGAAGAGGGATACTGGGGACTGGGATCCCCTGGTATAAGGAGAGGATGCTGGGGATACTGGGAAGGGGAGAGGGGATACCAGGGTCTGGAATCCCCAGGGAGGAAGGATACTGGGGACTGGGATGCCCTGGGATGGGTAGAGGATACTGGGGATACTGGGAGGGATACTGGATGGGATACTGGGGGTCCCCCGGGATGGGGAGAGGGAGCTGCCCACCCCCGCTCAGCATCCTTGGGGATGAGCGCTGGCTCCCAGCCTTCATTAGGGAGCTTAATGAAGGGGATGCTCATTACGGGGTGGGGGGGGTCGAGACAAGGTGGCTCTGTGGCCATTTCACTGCAGCCCCCCCCCGTTGGGACCCGGCCACGGTGCTCTGGGGACACCTGAGCATCTTTGGGACCTGGCCATGTGGCTTTGGGACCCAGCCATGTGGCTTTGGGGGACACGAGCATCCTTGGGGCACAGGTATGTGGCTTTGGGACCCAGATGTGTGGCTTTGGGACCCAGCCACAGTGCTCTGGAGGCACATGAGCACCTTTGGGACCCAGCCACGTGGCTTTGGAGACACATTGGGACCTTTGGGACCCGGCCACAGTGTTTTGGGGACACTTGAGCATCTTTGGGATGCAGGCATGTGGCTTTGGGACCCAGCCGTGTGGCTTTGGGGGACATAAGCATCTTTGGGACCCAGATATGTGGCTTTGGAACCTGGCCATGGTGCTCTGGGGACATGTGAGGACCTTTGGGACCCAGCCACATTGCTTTGGGGGCACATGAGCGTCTTTGGGACCTGGCCACGGTGCTCTGGGGGCACATGAGCATCTTTGGGATGCAGGTATGTGGCTTCGGGACCCAACCACGTTGCTTTGGGGGCATGTGAGTGTCTTTGGGACTCGGCCATGGTGCTCTGGGGACATGTGAGCATCTTTGGGACCTGGCCATGTGGCTTTGGGACCCGGCCATGTGGCTTTGGGGGACATGAACATCCTTGGGGCCCAGGTGTGTGGCTTTGGGACCCCAACATGTGGCTTTGGGACCCAACCACATTGCTCTGGGGGCATGTGAGCACCTTTGGGACCTGGCCATGTGGCTTTGGGAGACCATGAGCATCTTTGGGACCCAAACACGAGGCTTTGGGAGCCCATGGGCATCTTTGGGACCCAACCACGTGGCTTTGGGACCCAGCAATGTCACTTTGGGACCCAACCAATGTGGCTTTGGGAACCTGTGGGCACCTTTAGGACCCAACCACGAGGCTTTGGGAGCCCATGGGCACCTTTGGGACCCAACCATGAGGCTTTGGGAACCCGTGGGCACCTTTTGGACCCAACCACAAGGCTGGCATCTTGGGGCATCTTGGGGATGTGACCCCTCCTGCCCCATGGGGCGTCCAACTCTCTGTGCCCACCAAATGTCCCAGTTGGGATGGGACGTGGCCAAGCCTCACCTGGGCGTGAGCAGAGGTGCTGGTGACCCCCAAACCTACGTGGTGGGACCCCCCAGTAGAGAATTGTCACGGCCACATTCCCAACATGGAGCTGGGTGGTTCCCAGTGTCACCTCCCCATCCCAGCCTGGGTCACCTCCACCCTCAGCAGAAGGAAGGTGTTGGATGGAGCTGGTGGGCAGGGAGGAGCTGTGGGGCTGGAGGAGGTGGGACCCCCTGATCTGGGGGTGCTGACCCCCAACTTTCTCTGCCCCAGGTCCAGCCCATCCAGCCGGCCCCGGCGCTCTCCCAACCCACCGTGGTGGTGGCAAACCCTGCCCCAGTGGCCAAGGCATCCCCCGCGCCCGTCCCCATTACCTGCTCCGAGACCCCCACCGTCAGCCAACTGGTCTCCAGTGAGTCACGGGGGGGGTTACTGGTGGGAATGCTGTGGACTGGGATCCCCTGTGAAGAGAGAGAACCAGGGACTGGGATCCCCTGGGGAGAGATTTACTGGGGTCCGGAATCCCCTGGGATGGGGAGAGGGTACTGGGGATACTGGGGGGATACCAGAGTCTGGGATCCCCATGGAAGAGGGATATTGAGGACTGGGATCCCCTGGGATGGGGAGAGGATGCTGGGAAGGGGAGAGGGGATACCAGGGTCTGGAATCTCCATGGAAGAGGGATACTGGGGACTGGGATCCCCTGGTATAAGGAGAGGATGCTGGGGATACTGGGAAGGGGAGAGGGGATACCAGGGTCTGGAATCCCCAGGGAGGAAGGATACTGGGGACTGGGATGCCCTGGGATGGGTAGAGGATACTGGGGATACTGGGAGGGATACTGGATGGGATACTGGGGGTCCCCCGGGATGGGGAGAGGGAGCTGCCCACCCCCGCTCAGCATCCTTGGGGATGAGCGCTGGCTCCCAGCCTTCATTAGGGAGCTTAATGAAGGGGATGCTCATTACGGGGTGGGGGGGGTCGAGACAAGGTGGCTCTGTGGCCATTTCACTGCAGCCCCCCCCCCCCTGTATCACCCCCTCCCACCCTCCC